AGCCCTAGAATTAATTCCGAAACCGCAGCTTTGAGCCCCATAAGCCCAAAGTTTGAACTCTGCATGCTGTGTGCTCGAAGCGTCGTATGCTGTTTCTTGTCGTTTCCGGGTCCATGGACCTGTTCAGGCTGTGTTCCTAACGTGCAGCGATTGCGCTTCTACCAACTTGGTGAAGTTTAATGCCTCACGGTAATGCTCAGAATTGGTTGGATGTGTTGTTGTGTCATGTCTGCTTTTTGTTGGTCCCGGCGAAACTTGCTATCTATGAGGGAGTTGCACAGCAGTTTGCTCGATCTTGGATGCATGAAGTCGGCGGCGGGGACTAAGTGGGTGAATCAGCATATCACCAGGTTGAGGGAGCTGGGAAGGTGGCTTAAGGCAGCTCCTGAACGTGAGAGTTTCCGTTTTGGGGATGGCCACGAACTACATAGCCAGTACTCTTTCTCCTTCGAGGCTACGGTTCTTGGCGCACAGACAATATTGAAACTCAGTGTTGTCCCTGGCGATTGCCCTCCACTGTTGTCCAAGCCGGCATGCACTCAGTTGGGGATGGTCATTGATACTGAGCATCACCAAGTGTCGTCTCGCAGGTTGAAGGTGAGTCGCTATGGGTTGTCGCAAACTCTGGGTGGACACTATGCTCTTCCGGTGGCCGAGTTCACAGATGACATGCCTCCCCTGTCCGAGCCCAACATGCCTGCCTACCTTGAAGCTATCCCGGTGTATCACCAAAGTACCCCACCTGTCCCGAGCAAGCCTACTTTCCGCGTGTGGACTCGTCATGATAGGCAAGTTGGAAACAGTGGGACCTGGCACGAATGGACCTGCATGGGAGCATGTAGTGATGAGAACCGTGTATGACACTGTTACCGGAGAGAAGCTTGTTGAAGAGCAAGTGCATGAAGGTACCCCAGTTCGACAGCCGTTGATGGGAGTTCGCGACACGACTACAATCTTCATGTACCGCGCCGGTCCCTCAAAGCACTCAGTGAGTACCAATTCGATGTGCCCTTTTTTTCCTGGAAGCTCGGTGCCCCGCGCTACCATGGGTCGTGGCAAGAAAACCAATTCGGACGAGGAGGCCGAGAAGCGGCGCGACCTGCCCAAGGTGACCACGGAGTACCACAGCCTCGACTTGGGCGACAGCGAGAAGGAGACGGGCAACAAGGCCGAGACCGGATCTCAAGCGTCCGGGAGGAGCCGAGCCGAGATGGTGGAGACCGCGAACCCCAAGGGCAAGCCGAGAACTCCGACTCCCCGACGATCCAGTTTGAAGGTCCTCGGCAACTTTGGAGCCAAGGTGGCGGCGAAGGCCAGGTCGAAGTCAGCCGAGAGAGTGCGCAAGCCGCGCAACGACAAGGGGCGCCGCAGCCCTTCCCCTCGATCCCGGGCACGAGCTGCAGCCGAGGTGGCCGAGGTCGGACAGCGTGTGATGCCTTCCACTCCGAGTTCGACGAGGGCCATGCCGAGCACTCCGGGATCGAAGGTGACCAAGGCGATGCTAGAGTCTGCTAGAGGCCCAAGCGGAGGAGCTGGAGTTGGCTCTGTGGCAG